TATAGCATTCATAAGACAAGTCTGATAGCTATAATTAGATTTGGATACAGGTTTACTTCCTTCCGTTGAGGAGAGAAAAATCCGTAGTGGCAGGGAGAGGTTTAGTGGTTAATGAGAAAGACAAGTGGATCCAATTTTGAGTGACAACATTAGAAAAGGGTTAGAATTCAACCAAGGTCCTTTGGAGAGCAAATAGAATTAGACCACACCATAGGGAACTGTCTTATTGGTTTGCTTACTTTTGTTAGCTTATTTTTCCTCTCTCCATAGCAATAGTTTTCAGCATGAGTTTTTAAAGATACAAAATTGTTTTTGTAATTAAAATATACACATCATGGAAAGCACATGCAAGAAAAATTTATAAACCAAGAAATGTGTATCCATAGACAGAAAATAAAGGATGTGTATTCTTAAGGCAAAAAAAAGGTGAATAGCCACAAAACCATGTATTACAAGTTTCTAAATTCAAACATATGTAAGCTGTTTTGTCTCTTTAAAGAATGGGAAAATGAAGAAGCTACTGTATTTTAATGCATCTTTAAATATGGAGTATAGATTTTACAGTAAAGTCACTCATTGGAAATTTGAAAAACGCATAACTGTGCAAAGTTAAGTGCATGTGCAGCTTGCACTTCAAATAGGAAGTTTTTTTAATGTTAGAAGATGGATGTAAACATAAATTGTTTAATATCATATTTTATTATCTGTTTTTCTCTTATAAAGTAGAATAGGTAATATATTTAATAGAAATCTTAAATCCTCTTGAATACTGAGTTTTGAGCAACTAATATTGTCCCATCAGTAAAGCAAATTTTTTTTTTTTTTAATAATGTGTGTGTGAGTTGGGGAGGGGGTTAGGGGGTGAGAGAGAGAGAGTCCCAAGCAGGCTCCACACTCAACATGGAGCCTGACATAGGGCTCGATCTCACCACCCTGGGATCATGACCTGATCTGAAATGAGGAGTTGGATGCTAAACCTACTGAGCCACCCAGGCACCCCAATAAAGAAACTCCTAACCATGCTATAACTTAAAAAGTTTGCCAGGCCTTAATAAGAAGGGTACAAAGTGCAAGATGGACAAAAACTGACTCACAGTCCAATGCCATCAGCAGAGTACATTAGAGACTTATTGCAGAAGTATACAATAAATAAATGTGTGTTTTCCAATGCAGATTTTGTTCCTTTGAGCACAACTCCTAGATCTTCTGAAACAGTATTCATTTTTAGAAATAGGCCTTTTCGTATGTGAGTTCCCTCTTTGTGCAGATGAGAATTATCTTCCTACTCACCCAAATGTTAATAGAGTTTAAATTAGATTTTATTTTTGCTGGCAATCTAGAATTTAGATACGCAATATTAGAAGTCATAGGTCATTGGTACTCAGTTAAGAAAAAGAGTCATGTTCAACTAGTTGAAACTGAAGCAGACACCTCAGCATCTTACTATGGCAACATGGCAACAGCTGCGTCAACATGTACTTGATCACCATCCAGAAAATTTATGTCATCAGCTGTCAGATTTAAAGGCCATAAGGCAGTACACATTTTATAAATGCTCACTAAAACCATTTAAATTTTAATAAAAATAGTAAACCTTCATATGGTCTAAATAGCAGCTTTTATTAAAGTTATTAAGGCTGTGGTTTGATTCCCCCCCATCCTGTAACACACATATACACATGCATGTGTACACATTTTTTATATGTGCTCAGAACTTTACATAACATCTGGGACACATTGCGAACACATACCATGCCAGATCATTGACATAAAATGCAAAGTCAGCTAACTACCACTGAATATACATTATATATGAATGAGCAATGAAATGTCTACATTTTGGACTTCATTTTTAATATGTAATTCATATGACATATGTTTAAAATATCTAGGTTATTTTTCTAATATCAAAATTTTTAAAAAGTTAAAAAGGCAAAGAAAAATAGAAGTCTGTGATACATGTAATGATTTTCTCTATTTTTATCAATGCATTTCCCTAAATTATTATCTCTTGGTTTGTCAAGATCCTTCCAAAATTGAAACGTCTTCAAGATATGAAGTAGTGCACTAATATATGAGACATTTAGTTTTATTCCTTTTTGTCTGAGTATTGACCTACCTTAAATGAAGTCACAAGAATCACATACTCTCTTTGTGAGAATATTATTTTTAAAAAGGAAACTATCACTAAGGAGCCATTATTAATTTCACTATTAAAAGGCTTAGAAATCTACATTACAAATTCAAAAGGTCAGCAGTTGTGCATATCAAAGCAAAACTTCTTACATAATTATATCTTAGGCCTCTTCTGTAAAATGATTTCAAATGATCTGAACCATGATTACTCTGAAAGGTTGAGCCTACTAAAAGTTGAAAGAAGGTAGTTTTGTACCATTTTTCCTGGAAGCCAAACAAAATTACCATACTTTGTTTTAAAAAATTACAAAATGCAAAAATATTTAACTATGAACCGTAACTGCTGGATTCCTCAAATTCCCAGAAAAAAAAAAAAATGTGCAAAATAATGAGAACAAGGAATAAAAGACAAATTAGTAGTTAATATAAACAATCATATATAACTTTTAGATACAGAAAAACCAAAGATCATTTTAGGATGTGGTAATGGTTTACATTGCATATTAGTGTTTTTGTTTTCTCTGGGTAATTCCACCCAGTAGTGGAATGACTGGATGGTATGGAATTTCTATTTATTTGAGGAACCTCCATATTGTTTTTCCAGTGACCCTCAATTTACATTCCCCCCAACAGTGCACAAGGGGTCTTTTTTTTCCACTTCAGCATCTACACTTTCTATTTTTTAAATCTTTTTTATACTAGCTCTTCTGAAAGGTGTGAGGTACCTTTTGTGATACCTCCTTGTGGTTTGATTTGCATTTCCCTGATGGTAATGAGTGATGTTGAACATCTTTTCATGAGTCTCTTGGCCATCTGTATGTCTTCTTTGGATAAAGGTATTCAGGTGTTTTGCCCATTTTTAATTGGATTTTTTTTTGATGTTGAGGTGTATAAGTCCTGTATATATTTTGGATATTAACTCCTTATCAGTTATATCATTTCCATATACCTTCTCCCATTTGGTAGTTTGCCCTTTTGTTTTGTTGATGATTTCCTTCACAATGAAAAAAGCTTTTTATGTTGGGATAGTCTCAATGGTCATTTTCACTTTTGTTTTTCTAAAGTGCATATTTTATGTATCTCTTGATCTATGACCCTCACCACCTGCTTTCTGCTTATCCCATAGCAATAATAATCCAGTCTGGTTTAACAGCTTCTGGATAAAATTGTATTATGTATATTAGTGGCCAATTTCTTCGATGAAATTAATGTTGATATTAGGAAATTCTTGTGCTTAATTATTTTTTGATGAGTTGCTTAGCTCTGTATAATTTCTAACCTATAAAATGGCCATGAAGTAAGTGCAGATTACTCTCCCTCAAAGTGGTCAGTTTTCATTGGTTTTCCCGTTAAGAGATAATTTTGAACACAAACTTATTTAAGAACTTGCAACCTGTTTCTTAGCCAAACTATTTACGTTATGTTGCACATGTATTTCTTATTTTTCCTCTGCATAATACAACATGCTATTGATTCTGATGCTGATCTTGAAGGTAGTAGTAATATTGGTGAGTGTAATAATGAGTTTCCTTATTTAAGTCTCAATGTTTTAAATACACCATGTTTCTCATGACTAATGTAGCAAATACCTTCCATTGGAGAGTCTACCCCAGGGGAGTTCACTTGCATATATGGCACCATCTTTCAAGTGTACAGTTGATTGGCCAAGTTCCTTTCCAATATCTTAGACTGAGGCCTTTCTGTTGGCCTGGAAGAAAAAATTTGAAGAGCAATTCAAAACCTCATTTACCAAAACATGGTACATAAAACTCTAAAAATGAGACATCTGTTAAAGCTATTTTCTGTCATACATATGGTTTGTTTGAAGG